GGGGGGGGGGGGGGGGGGAGGAGTGAAAACCTAACATATGATTTTTGTTTGTTTTTGTGCTGGTCCTGGGCCTCAATCTCAGGGCCTGGGTGCTGTCCCTTAGCTTTTTTTTTTTTTTGGTCGGTCGTGGGGCTTGAACTCTGGGCCTGGGTGCTGATCCTTCAGCTCTTCAGCTCAAGGTGAGTACTCTACCACTTGAGTCACAGCGCCACTTTCAGTTTTCTAGTGGTTTATTGGAGATAGGAGTCTCAGAGTCTTTCCTGCCTGCGCTGGCTTTGAACCCCGATCCTCAGATCTCAGCCTCCTGAGTAGCTAAGATTACAGGTATGAGCCACAGGCGCCCGGCAGTGAGCTTCCCCCCCCTTCCTTTTTTTCAGCTCCATCTCCAGCTTCTTGATGGTTAGAGATAAGCATCTCACACTTTCCTCCTAGGCTGGCTTTGAACCATGATTGTCCGATCTCAACTCTCCTGAGAAGCTAGGATTACAGGTATGACTCACCAAGAGCCTGGCAGTACCATACTTCTTAAGCAGGACACTAACCATATGAGGTTTTATCTTGGCACTAGTAAGTCACTGCCTTATTGTGTGCCATCACAGACCGCTATCAGTAAGGGACCTGAGTCATAATATAAGTCAATAATGTTAGAAACACAACATCTTTTGACAAGACTATGGTGCCACAGGGGGTCCTGTGAGCCCACCACAGACCAAAACAGATTATTTTATGCCTTCTGTATATCTGAAACAATTCATGGGTATCTTAAAGTTCAAAAAAATTCTAAGCATTAAAATATGTAAAAAAACAACCAAGAGGATACAATCGTGCTATATATAATACAAGTACATTAATGTTATGATTCCATATCGTGTGTGTGTGTGTACGTGTATATGTGTACGTGTGTGTGTGTGTGTGTGTGTGTACACATGTAAGTAAGCCCTATGGCTTGAACTTAGGGCCTCAGCAGCAATTCTGAACTGTTTTGCTCAAGGCTAACATTCTACCACTTGGACCAAAGCTCCACTTCCGGATTTTTTTATGTTAATTGGAGATGATAGTCTCAGTACTTTCTTTTCCAGCTCACATCAAACCACAATCCCCAGATCTTAGCCTCCAAAGAAACTAGCATTACAGGCATGAGCCACCAAGCACTCACCCTCTTATCTTTGATCATTTAATGGTCAGCACTATTGGAGATAGAACTTGTAGGAGGATAAGGCCTCATAGGAGGTTCTTGAGGGTGTGCCTTAAAGAGGACTGTAGAACTTCAGCCCCCTTCTCTTGGCTCTGGTTTAGATTTGACTGCTTACTTCTGCACAAACTCCTGGTATAATGGAGCTGCCTGATACTGGACCTGAACTTCCAAAGCTGTAAACAAAATAAACCTTTTCTTTTGGGGCTTGAACTCAAGGCCTGGGCACTGTCCATGAACTCTTTTGCTCAAGGCTAGTGCTCTACCACTTGAGCCACAGCACCACTTCCAGTTTTCTGCTCAGGCTGGCTTTTAACTGTGATGCTCAAATCCCAGCCTTCTGAGTAGCTAGAATTACAGGCATAAGCCACCAGCACCCAGCTTAACATTTTCTTTTTATAAAGGCATTTCCTTGCAGTAATACAAAGAAAATAGAAAAAAAAAAAAAAAGCTGTTATACAACCATGACTGGGAAATCCTACAGAGTATAGAGGAACTAACCAAATCTAATAGTAATTGACTTTTTAGTTCCCACTTTTTTGGTTGGTACAGGGGTTTGAATTCAAGGCCTCCTACCACTTAAAAAAAACACCCAACCAACCCCTTTTGTGTTTTAGTTTATTTATTTAGTTTATTTCTGGATAGGGTCTCATGTTTTTGCCAGCCTTGAACCATAGCCTTCCTGCCTTCATCTCCTGAGCAGCTAGGATTATAGGCACAGGCCATTACATGCAGGGCCATTACTGTTAAAAGGATACAAATCTACTAGTTAAGATTTTTAAATGAGCCGGGTGCTGGTGGCTCACGCCTGTAATCCTAGCTACTCAAGAGGCTGAGATCTGAGGATTGAGGTTCAAAGCCAGCCCGGGCAGGAGAGACCATGAGACTCTTATCTCCAATAAACCACCAGAAAACCGGAAGTGGTGCTGTAGCTCA